TCCAGACAGCCCTCGAGTGCTGTCCACGTGCCTCAGCCTGGTCAGCCGCCGTCCAGACAGCCCTCGAGTGCTGTCCACGTGCCTCAGCCACTGTGCCCGGTGCTAGGGCTCCAAGAGGACAACTAAACGCTCAGGCAAAAAGCTACTTCCTAATTAGGTTTAAACGAAAAAGAACACCTGTCAATACTTGGCTGTGACCTGGTTCACGTCCAGCCGGGGTGCTCCATGCATAGCGCTGCATGGAGCCCCACTCCTGGGGTCCCACTCCGTGACTCCCAGTACAACGAAGACAGAAGCCTAGCCAGTCACATCCCCGCTGGCCCTTGTGTCCTCTGCAGAGTGAGCTCCTCAGACCCACTGGACAGAGCAGAGAGGAGTGTGGATTTGCAGAGGACATGTGGAGGGTGTGTAGTGGAGGCTGTGTGGAGGCCCTGCAGCCCCGAGCACTTCCGCAGCAGCAGCCAGCCTGGCAGCATCCCAGTGGCCCCCACGTGGTCGTACTCTTGCAAACGAACATGCAGGGACAAAGTGAAAGAGGAAGACCCTGTGGAGGGGCAACGAGCAGCTGCATGAACTGCTGTCTGGTCAAAATTGGGAGGACAGACTGGGAGAAGGGTGGCCTGGCCTCATCTACCACCTGGGCAGCAACGAAGCACTGGAGGTGGCATGGGGAAGATACCCATGTCCCGTGAGGCTCACACAGGATCGCACCTGGAGAGAGTAAAGCAAAGCAAGCACAGCCAAGGACCCCAACCTCACCTGACTCCTGAAATACAAGAGCCAAGTGCCTTTTCCCCCTTCCCACCAGGGAAAAAATTCTGCCCATCTAGTTATCAGGTATCAAAAGGTCCCAGGACTGTGCTACCTGAGAAATCTAAGAAAGAAAACAGAAGCTGGTGTGTCATTTAGTTAAACTGAACCCTCCCACGAGCTCAGAGAGAACACGACACAACTCCAGATGGTGCAGAGCTTATACTTTAGCTCAAATGGAGGACCCCTAACAATGTCCTTAACTTGATGGATTTTCCACCAAAAGGATGACACCAGTTCTGGGGGAAGCAGCCTTTATACAGCTGAAAAGAACATGAGGCGATGAGGGAAGAATGGAAATAGTCCTACTGCCCTGCTAAGAGCTACAGCTTTCAATCAAATCAAATGCTCTCAATAGGAAAACTAGGACTTAATACTTAAGGCTGGACTCTTTCATAATCCCACTTATTTTTCTGAAATGAGTATTCCTTCAGAAGGTAAAGAGCTATTTAAGTCCCATTTCATTTTAGGATTCTCACACTTAAAAACAGTAATCTTTAAAGGATTAATAAGCTGTGCTTACCACATCTAACACTGTCGTGAGTCTTTGCTGGGATGAGGTTTCACAACTTCTAAGTAAGTTTATAATTTTATAAGGCTTCATAAGTAGTTTAAAAGTATCAGTTTTTCCTGAGATTAATGAAAACCCCAGATGAGAGGAACTGGGTGACAGGCAGAGAGACCAGAAAATAATTTCCCTAAGTGACAGTATTTGTGTTCACATTTTAAGCTACAAAGTATTTTAAAAGTACTTCTTGAGAATCCAACTTGAACTACAGTATCTAAACACTTAAAATCACATGTGTTGCTGAATAAAACTTTCACTGAACTGAGGATATGTGCACATGTAATGGCCTGCAGGTGCAGGGGGCCTGCCAGGTGAAAGAGGCCTGCAGGTGTAGGGGGCAAAAGAGGCCTGCAGGCGTAGGGGGCCTGTAGGGGTAGGGGGCCTGCCAGGTGACAGGAGGCCTGCAGGTATAGGGGGCCTGGCGAAAGAGGCGTGCTGACATGTTTCCGGCCTCTGTGGCCCACCAGCACATCTAACACACGGGCTGCAGAGTCCTCCCCAAAGGTGCTCTGCAGTTTAATCCAGCTTCACTAGCTGCTGCAAGCACGTGATGCAAACAGCAGGAAACCAAAAAGGAGTATGAGGACAAGACTGTCAAAGTTCCAGTGAAAACCAAACTGAATGCTGCAGAGAGACTTGATAAGGAGAAGACACTAAAATTCTGCTGTCGGGCAGCGCCTGCGGCTCAAAGAGGTAGGGCACTGGCCCCATATGCTGGAGGTGGCAGGTTCAAACCCAGCCCTGGCCAAACAAAAACTGTAAAAAAAAAAAAAAATTCTGCTGTCAAGTTAGACCGTACAGAACTGGGGTGGGGAAGCTACAGCAGACAGAGGAAGGTTTGCTGTGATGTCTGACCATCACCTCCCTAAAGGGACAGAAGCAGGAAGTGAGACGACACGTTACAAGCATGAGCACAGGCAAAAGAAAAGATCCACAAATGAACGCTCAAAGTGTGAAGGCGTCACTTTTTGATTCCCTATTTCACAAAGTTTTTTTTATTAAAACTGGGTTGAAAACATCAGCTAAGAGGACTTTTGTTGTATTTATACAAGATGATTCAAGAAGACAAAGGACTTGCCTTATACCCAATATTTAATTATTTTACTCCAAATGCAGGACTCTTGAACTGGCTGAAGCACGATTTGCATTTTCTAGTGTTTGCACGCATTTATAACTCTACCCACACCTTAAAGGAAAAGAGACTATCAGTCAAAAAAACCGAACATTTCTATAGCATATCTGGATGCTTTCTGCAGGTGACGGCAAATTACGTGTTTTCTGAGCCTCATTCAGCACGGCACAATGAGGTTTGACTGGAGTCACTACAGCCTGTTCTCATTATCCATAATCACAAGAAGGAGAAACCTTAAAACCAAATGTTTAAAAACCTACAGTTATTTATTCACCTACATTTTCAAATATACTGATAAGCAGTAAGATAACCAAATGACCAAAAACAGCAAAACACAAGAGAAACAGAAGCACAGTCCACAAAGAGCCTGACACGTTTCCTGAGCAAAAACCGAGCACCGTGCGCCACGTGTGCTGGACGGGCTGCCCGGGAGCCTCCGTGCACCACATGTGCTGGACGGGCTGCCCGGGGCCTCCGTGCGCCACGTGTGCTGGACGGGCTGCCCGGGGCCTCCGTGCGTCATGCGTCCTGGTCGGGCTGCACAGCACCCTGACACTGAGAGGGCCCAGAAGCTAACCTGATAAACGACACAGCTGTCTTACAATATTAGATAACCTCTCTATATCCTCAACATTACAATCCAGATACCTATATATGAAAAGAAGAAGGTTACTGTCCAACAGCATCTAAAAATCACTCCATGTCATTTAAAAGTAAAGACAGTTCCTCAAATTTCTCACATATTAAAAAAAATAGACACCCTCCTGAAAAAGAAAGGTTTTGGTTTTCTACTAAGTACCTTTTCTTTCAATTCCAAAATTAATTTTTACAGAAACCAGGGAAACTGGGCTCTGTGTGCTCTCACAGTGGGGTACCCACCTTCTCAAGTCTGTTTGCAGGGCGGGGGGGTGAGCCCCCATCATCCTGCATCTACAGGGAGGCTATTATGAATGCCAGCAAATGTTTCCCTAACACTCTCATAAGGTAGTTAGGAGGCTTAAATGATTTAATATTAAATGAGTTTTTAATTTTAATCACACATTTAATCATAGCACTCAGTAGGCCAAGGGGTATGGATTGCCTGGGCTCAGGAGTTTGAGATCAGACTGAGCAACAGCAAGACCTCATCTCTAAGAACAGCTAGGTGTTGTGGCAGGTGTCTATTGTCCCGGCTACTGGGGAGGCTGAGGCAAGAGGATCACATGTGCCCAAGAGCTTGAGATTGCCGTGAGCTGTGATGCCACAGCACTGAACCAAGTATGACAAAGTGAGACTCTGTCTCAAAATAAATAAATTAATTAATTAATTAAATGAGTTAATATTTATAAAAAGTTACTAGAATAATGCCTAGTGCATAGTAAGGGTTAGGAAAATTGTTAAATTAAAAAATGGCTCAAGTTAACACAAGAAGCTCATAGTAAGAATCAAAAGAAAGGACACCAAGAAAAACATGCTCCAGGCTCACTTGGAGAAGGGCAGCCGTGAGCGCCCAGAGACGGGAGAGGAAGGGGACACAGCTGAGGAGGACGCTCCAGGCTCATGCGGAGAAGGGCAGCCGTGAGCGCCCAGAGACGGGAGAGGAAGAGGGCACAGCTGAGGAGGACGCTCCAGGCTCATGCGGAGAAGGGCAGCCGTGAGCGCCCAGAGACGGGAGAGGAAGGGGACACAGCTGAGGAGGACGCTCCAGGCTCATGTGGAGAAGGGCAGCCGTGAGCGCCCAGAGACGGGAGAGGAAGGGGGCACAGCTGAGGAGTACGCTCCAGGCTCATGCGGAGAAGGGCAGCCGTAAGTGCCCAGAGACCGGAGAGGAAGGGGGCACAGCTGAGGAGGACGCTCCAGGCTCATGCGGAGAAGGGCAGCCGTGAGCGCCCAGAGACGGGAGAGGAAGGGGCACAGCTGAGGAGGATCTGACTGCAACCATCGCGGCCCAACAAGGAGCAAGCTTGGTGACTGACACATAGGATTGGTCTGTCAATTTTATTAAGTAAGTGAGCTTTACTGCCAAAGGGCATTTCCCGTTCATCTACTTTATGATATCTTAAATGTTTTACAAAATCCGAATTCTGAATACATCAGGGAAGGGAGGGCCACAGGCCTCCCTCTGTGCCATCCCCATGTGCAGTTTACCTCGAGACTCCTTTAATTTAATGGCACATGAAGAAGAATCGTGAAGCTTTGTTTTCTGCTCTTTGTTAACTAAAAAATAACTCTTCAGAAACTGATTAACTGGCTCAAACTGGAATAGGCAACATGAGAAACTATATTTTTAATTTCTGATACTAGATTTGAATTTTAACATGTTATTTTCACTAAACTTGAACTTCTTGTGTAAATTACAAAAACTTCCTGAGTGCTGCCTCCATGCAAAGCTGAGCATCAAACAGAAAGAGATACAGTCGGATACACAGTAGGAAGCTGCAGGTGAAAGGCTGTTTAGAGCATCAACTTACTAACCAGAGATAGTCAGGGTGATCTCCTGCGGAGACCCCGAGGATGACGTGGCGGAGGGTCCAGCAGCCAGGACCTGGCTCAGGCTTGAGTTGTTGATGGTCAGGGTGATCTCATGGGGCCCGCCGGAGGGGGACACCAGGCCTTGCGGGGCCATCACTTGAGTGAGGTCTTGGGTCCCTGATCATCATTACAAAGCAAAACAGTCTTGTTTTAAAAAAACATTTTTCTCCTTTTTTATATTAGAAATAATTTAGTTAAAATGTTATGGCAAAAAGAGAACCCCCTCAAAATAAAGTATCATTCAACTCTAATTCCAACGTTTAAAATGATCAGAAGGGCTAGCGATGCAGTGGAAGGTGAGCGTGGACAGTAAGAACAGAAACGTTCGGACTAATCTAAATGCACCTTCTAAACAGACATGATTTACCCTGAGAAAGGCTTTTTAAAATCTAAAGACATTTGATTTCTCTGGTGAACTTTACAAAGAGAGGACAGTGGCCAGAGAATGTCCTAAAGTAACTATCAGCAGGAAAGTGAGACTCCAGCTGTGGAGACAGGCAGGAGGACAAGGTTCTCACCACTGCTGCTAGTGGCCAGCACCGACTCCTGCTCAGCCAGCGGGCCTATGGTCAGATTGGCAGATGTTACCGCGGGCTGCAAGGACAGGCCTGAGAGGGGCTGGATGACCACACTGGTGGGGACCGTGCCGTCCGGCGTCTGAAGCGTGCTGCTCTGTGGCACCGAGCTGGGCTCCCCGGGAAGCTGCTGTGTGAGCACGTTGCCCTGCTGTAGCGTCTGCTGCAAAATACTCGGGTCGATCTGAAAAGCAACACAGACACTGGCCGTGAAAAGCTCAGGCCCTGGGTGTGGAGACTCTAGGAAAGCACAGAGGACCTCTCGGGCACCACACCTGCAGCGTGATGTTGTTAATACTGGAGGCGTCGATTCCCGAAATCTGAACGTTGGGCCCAACCAGGTTGGCCGCCAGCTGCAACTGGATGCCCTCCAGTGTGGCCAGGCTCCCATCTGTCAGGGACACTGTCAGGTCACCCCCTGCTGGCCAAAGAGAGATAACAGGAACAATTACCAACGTTTCTCAAAACCGAAAGAATTCTTCCTTTACGTATCAATGTGATCTTGTTAAGGATACTAATATTTACTACTTACCACACACATACATGATCTAATTTAAACATGACAAAACTCTTTGAAATAATAATAATAATGATCATTTTAAACATCTCAGAAAAAAGATTCCATCAGTTAGTACAAGGTTTGTACCAACAACACTAACTGGTCAGCTGCAATCAAGCCTCAAGCACGGGAAGAGAAAGAAAGGCACGGGGCACGACCGCCACAACTGCCACACTTAGGTGTGAGTACATAATAAACCCAGCCGGAACAATGTAACACTCTCCAAGTGGCCAGGGACCCGAGAACAACTGGATAACCCCACTAGGTTGAAACGAGGCTAGTGAGCATCTGCGATTACATCTCTCACCACTAAATTGATGAGAACTCCAAATGAGAAAGACCAAGTATAAACCCATTAAAAACAAAAGTGTCACAGAAGACAAAACAAGAAACAGAAGCTAACTCTGTCTGGAGGAGGAAGTCCCCTGCACCCCCCGTTCAGCAGGTACCTGTCACGGAGGCAGGAAGAACCGCCTGGCCCACCAGGCCTTGCTGCAGCAGATTCTGGTCAAACTGCCCTGTCAGGACAGAGTTGTTCATGATGAACACGCTCGGATCAGCGGGCGGCGGGCTGAGGAGGTTCACGGGCTGCAGTCCTTCGGGTGAGCCCCGCGGGGCGGGCTTCCTGGCCTTCTTCGAGTCTGGCTTGTAATGAAACTGCATGTGGGTCTTCCTCCGCCCGGAGGTGCGGAAGCGCAGCTCGCAGTGTGGGCACTTGAAGGGCTTGGCGCCCGTGTGCAAGCGCATGTGCACCTTCAGACTCCCCTTCGTGGAGAACGCGTTGCTGCAGACATGGCAGCTGAAGAGCTTCTGACCTGCGGAGAGGCCAGTGAGACTCAACAGAGACAGTGACAACGGGGATGGCCATGTGTGGGACACCTGGGCAAAGTGCGGTCAACACATCCCTCTCACCCCCAAGACTATGATGTGACAGGCAGCTGCTGTGGGAATCTAACAGCACACTGTCCACAGTTTGAACTGGGTATTCTCACAGCTCATTGGGGTTTGTGGCATCTCCAAACCATTGCACTGAACTGTGAACACAGCATACGGTTTAAGTTTACCAGAAGCCATTGGTGAGTGACACTGGCCCGGCTCTGCACTGCTGTCCCTCCCCTTTGATTTTACAAAGGACACTTGGACATCTCAGCGTCCCTTTATTTTCTTTCCTGCCAAACGAGTGCAACCAGAATGTGAACCCAGGCAGGCATCACACCTGGAGAATGCAGAGGGAATGTTCCCTTCTGAGCTGAAGAGCTGTGGCCTAACAGCGTACTCCTCGTCCCTGCACACGTTCCTCTCATGATCAGTGGGGGTGACGAAGTGTCATCAGCAGTGACAGCCCTGCCAGAGCCACTGGAGTAGAACACACCTGGTTTTCTGTTTGTTCTACTAGCCCAGCAACAGGTGCCGACTCTCACCAGGGATGGCACACACGACAACCCACAAAAGGACCAGAGACACCTGTTATCCTGACACTACTCTGTGGGCCTCAGAAATCACATCATCACTTCAGAGTAAACAAAGGGGCTCTGAAAGGAACTCTTCCAAAGTCTTCTCCTTCTACTCCTCATCCATGTAGCCTGCACTAAACTCTCAAACCAAGCAGACAACAGAGCAGCATGTGCCAAGTTGTCATGAACACAGCTGGGCACTGGCTCACTGTGAGTCCACGCTAGGCCTGGGCGTCAGAGATAGGGAAGGCTGGGCCTTCTCCTCACCATCCTTGAGGTCACAGCATTACACAAGATGGACAGGTAAGGGGTCATAATCAAACAACAGAAAAACTGCACAGAGGACAGTCTTATTATTATAAATACACATATCGATTTATTTAGTTCCAAATATTAATCCATCAGAAAAGAATTACAGGGCTTCATATAAATATGTGAAATTCCCTATGTACTTGTTTGTTTAATTCTGCTTATAACCCAAATTTAAAAACATAAATTAGTTTGATAATCACAGTCTGTGCATCGTAATAGCAGTAGCTCTCCATTCACAGAGAGGTCACCACAGGGCACACACTTCTCTAAGTTCCTTAAACATTTTAATGCATCTCAGGGCACACACTTCTCTAAGTTCTTTAAATGTTTTAATGCATCTCAGCACCCAGGGAAGAAGCACCATGGCTCCACCTGACGCACCTACGGCCTAGAGAAGGGCTCAGGAGGGTCTGGAGCTTACGTGTAGGACACAGAACTCACAGACAGGATAGGCTTGGGGCTGCCCATGACCACCAGGACACCTATGTGCAGAACTCAGGAAGCACAGGCTTGACACATGGTAATTAATAGAATCTACCTGTGGTTCCTCAAATTCGAGGAAGGTAACAAAAAGGCCATGAAAACTGGACATTTGTTTTTCCCTTCATAAAATGTTCTCCTTACATACGAAAAATCACAGTCTGATAATTATATGGTTGGATTTGCTAGGCTTCAGTTTTAACAAACAAAATCTCTCTGACCTGAGTGAAACTAAGAAGTAACCTTTTCAACAGAGATGCTTCAGTGTGAATTAGATACAGGACAACTTGTAACTCAACTTCTGAGACCTCATCCTTTTTTCTTACTGTTATCTAGACATTTTTCCCTATGTCACAATGAAATGTTTTTATAGCCATTTCTTCACGTTTCCTAATTTTTAAACTTTCTATAATTTTGAAAATATTTGTGTGCACAAAATATATAGTAACAGAAATATAAAATGCTATCATAAGGCACCCCCCAATAATGCAGCCACCTGCGCTTACCTGTGTGAGTCTTCACATGGCAATCTAGAGTTGATTTAACGGTGAAGCTCTTCCCACATTCATCACATTTATATGGCTTTTCTCCAGTATGGATTCGAACATGCCTATCAAGAAAACATTTGCAATTAAGTGGTTTTCTTTTTAAATATGTACACATTTACAAACAACTTCATGATCTGACATCTTTAACCATTTAAGTAAAAATTATGTATTAATATGTTCTGATTAACTTTGGCCAGATAAAAACATTAAGCTTCATTCTGTACAAAAACATCATAAACAAATCCAAATAAGAATAAAAATATTTGCAAGAAAAATAAATACAAGGCCCATTTTCTTAAAAACCAAACTGCTTTCCCAAATCAGCATGAAGACAACCAACATCAGAACAAAAAAATGGGCACTGCACGGAGTTCAGAGGAGAAGAAATACAGACATCCAAAAGGCCCGTGGGGAGGTGCCCAACCACACTCAGGCTCCGCACAGCTAATGAAATAGATAACCAACAGGGTGGGAGAAAATATTCAACCAGTAGACATCCAATCAAAGGCTAATAAAAGAATTTACAAAGAATTCCAGCAAATCATCAAGAAAAAACAAATAATCCCATTAAAAAGTGAGCAAAAGACAAGAATAGAAGCTTTTCAAAAGAAGGCAAATGGCCAATAAACATGAAAAATGCTCAACATCACTAATTAGCAGGGAAATGCAAATTAAAACCTCGGTGAGGTATTACCTTACCCAGGTTAGAATGACTTTTATTAAAAAGTCCAAAAACAATAGATGCTGGCATGGCTGCAGAGAAAGGGACACTCACACACAGCTGGTGGGACTGCAAATTAGTATAACCTCTGTAGAAAACAGTCTGGAGACTGCCCAGAGAACTAAATGCACACATGCCATTTGATCTCATGCCACTGCTGGGCATTATCTAAAGGAAAAGAAGTCATTTTATCAAAAAGACAGCTGCACTCAAATGGTTATTGCAGAACAATTCACAATTGCAAAAGTGTGGAATTAACCCAAGTGCCCACTGACTCGTAAGTGGACTAACCAACTGTGGAATACGTATACTGTGGAGTGCTACTCAGCCATGACAAAGGACGGCTTAGGCCTTTTGTAACAGTTTGGATGGAACTAGACACTTATCCTAAGTGAAGTACGTAAAGAATGGAGAAACACACACCACATGTGCTCCGATTAAACTGACGAGCACACGTGCATGGAGGGAAGGAAACTCATGGAAATCAGGCAGGGGCCGGGGGTGGAGGTGACGGGCAGAAACCTGTCTAATGGGTACAGGTCTGGGTGATGGGCAGTTGTAACCCTGACTGAAGCGTGACAAAATTGATACAAATTGTAGCCAAAAATGTTTGTAGCTCTGAAACATTTTGAAACTGAAAATAAGTAAATATATAAAAGAAAATAAAAGGTGTGTCTGAAGCCCTGAGTGAACCAGCTTTACTGGGCTCTTTCTAACCCCACTCCCCCTCCCTTGTGGGTGCTCTTTGGCTGGACGAACTTCCATTCCCAGTGGGTCACCTGTGTTCTCGGTAACTACCTTCCTTTCCCAGCCGCCTGCTGCAGCCCCTGGCATGCTCCGCGGGATGAAGGATGTGAGGAAACCACCCTCTCCAGCTCCCCAGAGCAGCCTGTCGCACCAAGTCTCAGCAGTCCTGCCTGTCACTGAGCTGCTCTGTAGCTATGCCTGTCTGCTCTAGTTCCTAGTTCCTAGAGCAGAAGGCGACCTCTCCCTAACTGTACACAAACTCATCTTGTGTTTTAGGGGAGGGCTTATACCTCGGTCTGCTTTTCCCCCAGTCTGGATATCCCTTGAGCTCCCAAGGTTCTTTCCCAAGGGTTTTGGTTCCGCTTCTTCACTGTCCTTCTACACGTGATCTCAGGCACCAAGCTCTGTTACTTGGCCAGCTGTCTTGTGACAGCCCCAGTCTGCAGCGTATCACAGGCTGCATCTGCGCTGCACACACAGGAGCAGCCTTCCCTGGAGCGGCACTGCCTGGCGCTCTCTGCATGTCTGCAAAGCTTAGCGCCCTGTCCTCTTCAATATATAAATTTATTTTCATTTTTGACTACTACCACAATCTTGTAGAAATAAGCCCAAACTATCTAAAGAGAAAGCAGATTTTCTCCCTGACATTCTGAGTGAGCATTCTCTAAATTAGTAACACTGGTTTCAAACCACACACTCAGTAGGTGAGTAGCCATCGCTTGAGGGCAGGCTCAGAAACTGGCTGTTCTCAGGGCAGGAGAGATCCTCTCCCAGGGCCGCAGCCTCACCTGACCAGGTCACTGGGCTTCTTGAAGCTCTTGGGGCAGTAGGTGCAGCAGTTGGCGTGCTTGGGCTCATCCTGTAGCTCTGCCTGCCTGTCCCTCATCTCGCTGATGCGATCCTTCTCTGCTGCTGACTGCACCAGGACCTTCTCAGACACTGTTGCGCTTTCCTGGGGCCGAATTTTGGCTAACTGGGCTGTCTCTTCCTCTGTGAAAGTGATGACCTCAGGACGAGACTTACGCGATGCATTTCTGTCAGAATTTTCTTCCTCTTCCTCCATACACATGTCTAAACAAAACAAAGGAAAAGGGATCAAAATCCTAACATAATGAGTAAGTTAAAACTAAAAAGGTATGGACATAAGGTTAAAATGAGTGAGTCAAGTGAGCTATGTTTAAGAGGGTAGAGAGTTGTCCCCCTTCCTCCCTGCACCCCCCTATTCCTGCTGAGAACCTGAGAAGGATCGAGAACAGAAAGCACCCAGGAAGGATGTGCCAGGAGCTGCCCACTGAAGGCGCTAGGGGTTGGGATCACCTCCTCCCACACTGCCAGTCCAAGCAGCGAGCTCTGAACTGTCAGTGTCCACACAAGCTACTGGTATTCATAACTACAGACACTCCTTTATTATTAGAGGCAAAAATAAATTATCATACGGTTAAAAAAATCAGGAGCTTCCAAAAGGTGAACCAAATTGACAAGTAGCCCCCAATTAAAAGGACTCCCTATAAAGAAAGTAAAACATTAAAAACATATACAGCCAATCCTCCAACTGTGGGCTCCACATCTGTGGATTTCACCCACCACAGGCTGAAAATATTTGGGGGAAAAATTAATGGTTGCATCTGTAGTAAACATGCACAGACTTTTTATTCTTCTCTTTCCCTAAACAATACAACTGCTGCCATAGCATTTACATTGTACTTGGTGTCATGTGCAATCCAGAGACAACTGAAAGCACACAGGAGGATTTGGGGACACTGCACACAGCCCCGGAGGCCGATGGACAGGAGGTCTTGCCCATCCGTGGATTCAGGGTTCTGCAGCAGCTCCTGAATCAGTCCCCCAAGATACTGAGAGACAATCATATGCCTAATGTTTCTCTCAGTGAAACGTAAGGATATGTCACAATAGATTAAAACCAAGAATATACTCTTATTAAAACATAACAGAGAAGGAAAAATGTTTGGCTGTAAGCAAGGAGGCCATTATTGTACAAATGAGTAAAAAAACTTAAAATGCAACAAAAACATTGAAGAGCAAAATGGACAACTAAAACCAAATTAGTGAATTAAAAAAACAAATGAATAGTTTTTGTTAGAACAAAAAAGATGTAAAAAAAAAAAAAAAAA